CTCGTCTAAGCTCACATATCTCCCCCCTCCCCTCCCCCCTCCAAGCCGTAATCTTCGCACTGAAGTCTTGGATTTCTTCAGGCATCGGTGTAACCAGAAGTCAGTCTAGTGTGCTTCTCGATTGCGACCCTCTTCCGGTCCTGAATCCATAGGCATTCTGCCCAATAAGGTATCCTCTTTCTGTTGGCTTGGTATGACTCGGGCATTTAACCCCTCATTTAATCTTCATATTGAAGGTCTTTTTAATTAAAATTCGTAAAATTTTATACTACATCCGTCGCTTGCGTTCATATTGCACAAAGCGAGCCCCAATCTGTCGATTTATAGATGCCTGCATTCTCCCCCTCATTATTTACTGCTCATTATTTACTACTCTCCAGTTTTAAAAACACCTAGTCATTCTTAAAGGTATCTTCCGAATGCTCTCTTTAGCTGCTGTTTAGCTGATACTGTAATACAACGACACTTTAGTACGGTCAAGTAATTTGCTGATCGCATTCTTGGTCAGGTCGCTCACCCTCTCCATTCTGAACTGATGGCTGCGAAGTCTTCCCGTACTATGCGCAGAAGCTTCCACCATGTGTCCTGCTGTACATCAGCATGTCAGCACTCCACACTCCCATTCCTAGCACGCTACCTGACGTGTGAAGAAACAGAAATTCAGAACTTGAAAGCCGACCTGTCTTCATAACGGATGTGCATATCATGTAAGCCCTTCAGCTTTGAGTATTCTATGACCTGTTTATCTTACCTTATCCCTTGCTCTCCGTGAGTGGAGTCATTTTTGTTGACAATTTTGGATATTTACCTTCAAAATAAAGCATATTTCTCTCAACCACAGCTTCGGGCAATTGACAGATCGGTGCGCACGCCTATTCCTGGCTGAATAAATACCCGACCTGCAGTGCGGGAGAGTCGCAAGTGGCGAGTCACTGATCAACATGGTTCACGGATTGTGAACCATATGCGTCATGAACAAGCGTTTGTTTGTGTTTTTCGGGGCCTAGGTGATGGTCAGGATAATGAGCGGCTCGGAAGATTTGGACATCAAACCACCCGCATTATCCGTCGCCCACGTTTCCTCGCCCCCCTCCGCCCCTTCTATCGTTTTAGTCTCCGACGGGGATTGACACCTTGTCTAAGCTCACATCTCTCTCCTCATGCTCTAATCTCCGGACCAAAGGCTTCAGGCGTCAATGTAACCGCTGACTGGGATCACCTGTTCAAACGCAAGGAAG